TAATAGCGCTTTAAAGCGCTATTAATCAAGGCGCTATTGTAAAACAAATTTTTTAATAGCGCTTTAAAAGCGCTATTATAGTTCTGGTAATTAATAGCGCTTTTTCAAAAGCGCTATTATAGGACCTGTATTTAATAGCGCTTTTACAAAACCGCTATTATAAGTCACATATTTGATAGCGCTTTAAAAAAAAACGCTATTATAGCACCGGTAATTTGCTTTAATTTTGATAGCACTTTCAAACAAAGCGCTATTATAGTACACATATTTAATAGCGCTTTCCAATAAAGCGCTATTATAAGACACATATTTAATAGCACTTTCAAACAAAGCGCTATTATAATCCACATATTCGATAGCACTTTCAAATAAAGCGCTATTGAAATACCGGTAAATTGCTTTAATTTTGATAGCACTTTCTAACAAAGCGCTATTATAGCACGCTCTCTTCAAAATGCTATTCTAATACACTTTTTTTTTACACCAAATCATTATATATATATATATATATATATATATATATATATATATATATATATATATATATATATATATATATATATATATATATATATATATATATATATATATATATATATATATATATATATATATATATATATATATATGACATTTGCATTTTACAACATTAGAATTCATAAAATAATTATAACTAAGTAGCTAAAATACTTGAAATTAAAATAATAATGACAAATGTGATACCATTAATTTGGCTTAAGAGTACTTCAAACCAAAATATTTTATAAACACAACTAAAGTATTTTGTCATGTAGTTATTAATTTGGCTAAGAGTACTTCAAACCAAATTCCAAACAAAAAGTACAATCACTTAGCTAGGCATATTCTCTAAACTAATGAAAAAAACATCTAAAAAAACAAGAAAAGGACAACAAAAACAAGGAATCGAGCACGCTACCAACTGTGGATATGGTTATGATGTCTTCTTCACCACCTTGAAATCCATCAACAGAACGAACATTAACAGAAAACTTAGGATCTGAAATCATGTACTGCTTCACTTTCTCTTGGATTTCATGAACTTGTGCCTTGTATGGAGATATGATACCTATGCTAACTCTACTCTTTGTCCTTACAAACTCTGCCACAAAAGCAAAAACATTACATAATGTATAATGTACTGTATTCATTATATACTCAATTATGCCAAATTTGATTAACAAACTTATTCATAGAAGAGAAAGAGAAACTAACCCCTTTTAAGTCTTCCAACAATCTCAGAGATATCAGCAGCTTCAATCACATTCTTCAAACTATGATCAAGATTACACTGCTCTTTGCCTTTAGATATGTTGATGAAAGATTATGAACCAAAAAGTTTTCCTTTAAGGAAACGTTTGTTATAGCTTTTTTCTCTTACAATCTCAGCATCAGAAAGTTGCTTATTATAGAACTCTTTGCTTGGAAACATGCTGATGGATGGATGCATTCTATATTGGACATTAAGCATATGCTTCTTGTATCCCAACATTACTAGCCTCTCAAATAAGCTTCTTCCAAATTCAGCCCTGTCAGCAATCTGAAACAAACACAATAATCATAAGCCATAATAAAAATGTTACATGCAAAAAATCAATCTCTGTCTTATTTTTTTTAGTACCTTGCTTTTGACCATTGCAGGAAGTTGTTTCTCGTCACCAATGAGAATACAATGCTTGAGGCCAAATAGTTGCAACGGAATAGTTGATTCACATTCTTTGAGTTGAGCAGCTTCATTAATCACTAAGAACTCCACTTGTTTCATTCCTTCTGTGGACAATTTAGAAGAACTTGAAGTTGTACACAAAAGAATGCATGCATTCTTCAAGCAAAACTTTGATATTCCATGTTTTGTTGTAAGCTTAGGAAGCTCAGTCTTTGAAAGAAAACAAAGTGTCTCAAGTAACTCTTTTTCTAAACTTAACCATCCAAACCAAGCAAAAATGACTTTTCCATCTTCGCAATATTCATGAAATGCTTGTTTTTGTTTGCTTTGATTCATGGAAACTTCAAGAGAGTTTAGCAACTCAAGAGGCCACATCAACTGAATTTGATTATAAGACCTGAAGGAAGCTCAAAAAAGCATATGATGGATAAATAAATTGGTGATTCTTACAGTTGACTAAGGCTGCAACACTTTTTTAATTATATTCATGTTGGATCCTTCCATCTCCGAGTTCAAGGCTTTCCAAATACGAATATTTGTGGTCATGTTTACGAGATAAACAACATAGAGTTTCTGAGCTTTGTTCGTCCTCAAATCAAAGTTATTATGCATCTCCTTGGACAATAGTATAGTAATCTCATCAGTAAATTCATCTCTTGATCCACAAATATAAGCCTAGAGGCACCAATCCAGAGGCACCATATCAACCTCATAAGAATTACATCTAGCTGCTGGACGAACGTTGGACGAACGTTGGATTCTGTTGGACGAACGTTGCTCCTTCCTCCTACCTCTAGCTGCCATGTGCAGACGGTTCCATCTAATGCAGCACTGGCAAAACGATGCCCAAAGTGGTCAAATTGTAAAGCTGAAATTGACGCAAGAGCATATGGTGGAGGGACATTAGCAGCAGGCAGCACCCCGTATGTAGCAGTAAAAATCCATTTCTTCTTTAACATTCCTTAGTCATACAACTATAATATATCTTCTATGGCATAATGGGAAAGTAAAGTAAATACATAACTTAGGCACTCAAATCACAGTATGCACAAAATCAGAACTTGGTGACAACACAAAACACAATGGTAACAAGAGAAAGAACAAAGTTGAACGAGACTTTAATAGTGCTTCCATCAGATGAGCCACCTTCTGTGGAGCACCTATAGCAGTAACTACAATAGTAAATTAGTATTCATACTTAAAATGTAAGACTTGTAGTATTGTATATTCTTTGATGTTTCCTATGAGTTAGAATTGTGTGTCTCTTGCTAAACTTGTATTTCATATAATATTTTACTTCTATTTACTCCCTTCCCTCTATTTCAAAACGAGCATCACTTTAGCAAAGACAATTTGTTTCAAAATGAGTTGTAATTATCACTTTTCCCTGTAGAATTAATTTTCTTTTTTTTTTAATTATGCCCTCTTGTTATTACTATATGCACTACTCCCAAAGTATTACATTTCATTTTACATCTATTATTGTGGGATATTGAGTTTTTTAGGCTTATTATCACTAAATCACTAATTCTCTTTTATTTTATCTCCCATCTTTCAAATGAAGGCTATATGTTATCCTCAAAAGGCATCTGTTAAATACCATCTTTTGGATATGTTAAGCAAGTATGCCTTGAACCAAGAGAAAAAGACTGAGGCTCAAAGTTGACCTTTGGCACACACTTATAGTTGTTAGAAAATTTTCTATATTTCCACCTTGTATTCTCAAGCTAGTTTTTGAGCCCTTGGTACATACATATCTTTAATGGCTAAAATGTAATCCAAGATTCTTTCTTTTGAATATTCCACAAAACCCCTCTAGGTACTATCCAATATGTCTTTCCACTACTAATAAAAATCGTCTTGAGGTATTTTTTTATTTGTTTATTTTTTCATCAATCTTCGTAGCAAGTATATGGCTTCCATAGTCAATAAATCAATACATTAAGTACTTATTCAGGTTGGCAACTGTATATTTAATATTTAATTATTTACAAACAAAAGAATTGGCATCTTGGCACTATAAAATGACAGACATAAACAGACCATGAAGAATATGAATTCATGTAGAGAAGAAAACTACCAATCTATTCTATCAGTATGACACAAGGAGGAGCAAAAGGAAGTATGAAACATTACCTGCTACAAATCCAGAAAAGAAAAAGTTCACCCAAGCAAAAGTAAGAGTCTGTCCAACAAGAGGAAACAATACAAGTTAGTATGGCATTTCATAATTGGCAATAGGTAGAATAACAAGCAAGGAATATGAATAAAAAAACATAATGAAAGAGTAGCGTCAAAATCTATTCTCAACACCTGTGGTATGATCATTGAAAGATTTTTCTTCATCATATCCATGGCCATGTTCGGATCAGAGAACATCTGTGCTTGTGGATTCTGGGCTTGGCCCTTTGGAACGAACAACAGACCATTTTCCTTTAACGAAAAACCAACAAAACAATTAGTTCATTGTTGAATTGGCTAGGCAGACGATTATGTAAGTTACTAGATAAAGTTTGTGACAGTTATTAACTTCTGATGAGTATTATAGTAGTTCTAGAAGTGTCAAATTTGAAATATATTCATCAGCTATCTTCTGTAAAGGATTCAGGAAAAACAAACTATAATATACAATAAGAAAACAAACCTCATTACAAAAATAAAGCTTCCGAGCACGAAAAGCCTTGGAAGGGATAAAATTTGCGGCCGTCCGTAAATTCCGAGCTCTAAGCATGACTTGCCTGTATTAAAATCACCACAGCATCCATATAACATCAAATTATAAAGAACAAAGCTGTGAGCAACATGAAGTTGATGGAGTTTAAGAACTCCCCATTATGTAGTTTAGACAAGGACTCAGGCTAGTGAGTGTTGTAGTACAACCTGATTGAGTTGCATTTTGAGTCATCATATTCGCCGCTACTAGGACCATAGCTAGACACAAGACAAAACCTTTAAATGCCATTAGTCCTTTTATCTTAAAACTGATTCTGATATATATCTGTTGTTTGTTGATACAGATTGATTTTTGAGTATTAAGTAATGACAAGGTAATGAAGAATATAGGTTATATATATATCATGAAAGTTCAAAGTCAAGTATTCTGTCACATATAAAATAAATAAATGCAGGTTACCTAACTATATGAAATATATTAATAAAATATATCTTGTGGAGTTCAGTGGTCAATGATTAAATTGAGTCATTTCAAAATTTGGTTTTACAAATAAGATAGCTCCATATTCTAGCCAACTCCACCAAACAAAAACTTATGCAGTTAATACACTATACACCCAAACAGAAACACCTATCCAAAGTTTTAAGAATAGGTCCTCAAAGGGTCTAGAAGCTCGTCATGAGTACCGCTCTCAACTATTTGACCATCAGAAACAACTGCAACGGTATTAGCAGTTTTCACCGTTGATAACCTATGAGCAATGACTAGAACTGTCCTTCCCTTCATGATAGAATCCATAGCATCCTGCATCAAATCCATCACATGTTTTAGCATTTTGTGCAAAACATGATGATAAGGAAATTTTACATGTTTGTGAAGCTGGAAAAACAAACTCAACACGTTAATTCACCTGCACTAAGTATTCACTTTCAGCATCTAAGGCACTAGTGGCTTCATCCAGTAGGAGAATTTTTGGGTCCATAAGCAAGGCTCTGGCAATTGTTATTCTCTGTTTCTGTCCTCCTGAAAGACTTATGCCTCGCTCTCCAACAAATGTCTTGTATTGTTCGGGGAATTTTGATATAAACTCATGCGCGTTGGCCATTTTCTGCTCTATGGAGCAATTGAAGAGTGTAGGCTCCTGACTCACTATACTGATCTGCAAATATGCAAGCAAACAACTCTAGTTGTTAAAATCACTAAAAGGAATTAAATATTGGAGGGTTCAATTTCTTTTGATACATAGGGATACTATATTAAACCATGATTACACGGCGGAACAACATATTTTGTGCCCCAATATTAAAAACCAAACAAAGAAAATACCTTTCTGTGTAAATGCTTGTGTGATATTTCGACCAGAGGAACCCCATTCACCATAATCTTTCCCTTGGTTGGGTCATAAAATCTTTCAATTAAGTTTGCAATTGTAGTCTGTACAAACAAGCATGTCAAATAAACACAGGAAGAAAAGAAAAAGTAAGAGAAGATGATTACAAGACATGGACTAACCTTTCCGCCACCGCTTGGACCAACAAGAGCAACCTTTGAGCCAGGTTGCAGTTTTATATTAATACCCTAAAAACGAACAGGGAATTATACTTCATTTTAATTATTGACCGCTGAAGTTTTTATCACCAGAACATAAATAACAATTACCTTGAGCACCATATGGTTAGGGCGTGATGGATAGGAAAACCATACATCATCTAATTCCACTTCTCCATCATGATCACTGCAATAATACACATTAAAAGGGTATGTTTAATATTTTAAGCTAACAGGATATGTTTAATTTATGCAATGTTTCTGAAATTCATATACTACAAAGAGTGAAACAAGTAGAAGAGGAGCTGAACTCTCTACAAATAGCACTTAAAGATATATTTTAAGAAATTTATGCAACTGACCCTAGAGGACACTTATTGCCGGACTTGGGCATGGATGAGGCATGATCCAACAGTTGGAATACCCTTCTACTAGCACCAGCGGCTTTCATAACTACAGTATACAATCATGACAAACCAGATATAAAAGATCCAACTACAAGGCAAAGTAACTGAGTCAACTTAAGTACAAAACTAGCAGTTCGAATACGACAGATCAAACCACCACTGAAATAAATCATAAGAATCCTTTCACATGGATAAGGAAAAAATAGAAAGAGGAAAATACCTGAGAGACTATAAAGAATGAAAGATGTAAGATCCCCCGAGGACATGTCACCTTTAATTGTCAAATTAGCTCCAAATATAACAACTACTATAACTGAAAGTGTAGATGCTGCATTAAGACCTCCAGAAAAGAGTCCAACAACTTTCTGCATAACAAAGTAGATCAAATTAAGTATTGTGAAGGAAATAAATCTAAACACAACCACGTGGATCAAAATAAAAAATGACTAACTCATAGCTTGTTTAAGTCCAAGTGCTAGAGTTTCATTAACTTTCTCAGAGTAGCGTTCTATTTCATAATCTTCCTGTGCAAAAGATCTAACTGTTCTTATTGCACCAAAGGATTCCTAAGCAGCGCAGACAAAATTAAAACTGGTTAGTTAGCATCTCTTCTCCTATGAAAAAGAATTGAAGCTGTCCTAATATGTTTAATGGGAGAGGCATACTTCAGCTATTGAAGAAGCTACTGCAGCTGCTGCTTGAGTTTTATGAGAAAGTTCACGCAAGAAACGGCCAAACTGACGAACAGCAACAGATATAAAGGGTACAACAATCATAGCCAACACTACAACAATCGAAACCGTTAAACACCGGAAACATCCTTCCATTAACATCAAAACAGAACCGGACCTAAACCCCTCTTTTAACCCTAACTTCAACATCCGAAAATCTTCAACACATAATCCACATTCCATCTCTCACCATTAACAGAACCACACACAAAACGCCGGAAAACTCCTTCAAAACCTCTATCGGAACCCCTTCCAGAAACCTTCACCTCCGACCGTTAATCCATCCCTCACTTCAAACTGGCTTCAAACCCATTTCATCCGTAAATCCAACTTCAAAACACCCCCAAAACCAGAACCGAAAGTGGAAGAGAGATTCAAAGTGAAACAACCGAACACCCAATCATAAACCCTAACCCCTCTTTCAGTAATCCAAATCTCCATTCCTTCCGCCGTAAACCTCAAACTTCAATCGATTTCCATCATCAAAACCAAACCGTTCAGAATAATCATCATCAACAAACGTAAACCAGATTCAGAAATAGAATAAGAGGAGATGGAGAGAGTTTGAAAGAGAGAGCCAGTGAAACGAGATTGAGAGAGAGGGGAATCCGAGTAATGATACGAAGAAGAAGGCTCTTAGCTTCTATTGTTTTTCTTTGTTGATTTATTTTTACTTTTTATTTCTTTAATAGCGTTTTTTATTAAAGCGCTATCTTAATACACAATGATAGAAACGATAGCGGTTCTATAGAAAGCGCTATTGTAGTTACATATTTTAATAGCGATTTTTAAAAAGCGCTATCGTAGTGCTTTTAATAATAGCGCTTTTATAAAAGTGCTATTGTAATACAACATTTTAATAGCGCTTTTTAGAAAAGCGCTATCTTAGTGAATATTTATAATAGCGTTTTTTTACAAAGTGCTATCAAAATCATATTCTCTGTACTCTTTAATAGCGTTTTACTATAAAGCGCTATTATAAATATGTTTGTTTCCTTTTTAATAGCGCTTATTTAAAAAGCGCTATTAAAGTAGGCGATACAAAAAACTAATTTTGGCGTAGTGATTCCACTCCATCCTATTTCGTTCCGCTTCGTTATTTTTAAATTATCCAAACATAGCCTCAGAGACCTCACCACCTTACTACTCTCTAACCATCTCCATAACCGAATAACAACCTTCAATTATCATCTTCAACCTTCAATCACCATCTTTAAGGATCCAATCACCATATCATAACCTTCACCTCCATCATTCTCTAGAATCTTCACCTTCACAAACCTCCTCCAACAACCACAATCAACCAAGCCATTTTCTTCTTCCCCTCAAACCATTCATTCATCTTTTCAAACCTTCAGTGTCATTCAATCATCGCCCTAACCTCCATTCAATCAACAACCAACATACAACACAACAACAAGAAATCCAAAATCACAAGTAAGAAGATAAAAGAAAGAAAATAAATTCGAACAGAAAAGAGAAGAAGACGAGAAAGAGTGGAAGAATAGAAGAAAAAAGGAAAATTAACTCACCGGAATCTGGATTTTGTCGCCAGAAAGTTCATCACCTCGCCAGAAAATTAATCAACTCGCCGAAAACTTCAAGAAGTTCGCCGAAAAACTCAGACACTCGCTGAAATCTGCAAATTGCTATCCATCTTTGTCACTTCTAATCGGTCAGGTTTGGCACACTCTTAGAATTTTGATTCGGCCATTTGAATTTGAATTTTTTCTCGAATTAGTTGATAAAATTGAGAGATCTGAGTGAGGTTTCTATGGTTGTTTTTCTTTGATTCATTGAAAAACCTTGCACCCTTTGAGAGGGGTAAGTGATGCCAATGCACGGTGGTGTTCTTCATTTCTCTTTTTGAACTGAATCAGGTCCGCTTGGAGTATGGGAGTACAATATCGAGAGAAATAACATGAGAGTTGGGGTGATTCGTTGTTGTTTATTGTGTGTGTATGTATGAGAGAGAGAGAGAGAGAGAGAGAGAGAGAGAGAGAGAAGAGAGAAGAGAGAGGAATGAAGCAAAATTTGAAAAGTTAAAGTGGAATGACTGGCTTTTTCCCCCTTATCTGCCTCTTTCACTTGTTTTACACTTAACATCATTAACTTTGGCTAAGCAAACTAGCCCTTAGTCCCATAGACCATTACGTTTGCCCCATTTACTCCCTTCTCTTTGTTTTTTATTTCATTATCTTTCCATTCATTTATTTGATTTAGTTGTATTTGTATTAATTTTGAAATTCTAAATATAGACTTTGGGAAAGTTTGTAATGAGCCATCTATGACCATGCGGGCCTATTTATTTATTGCGATCACATATGCACATATGCTTTCTTGTTAGAATTAGATGTTTCATAAGAAAGACCTCAAAATAATTCAATTAGTTTAGTTTTTTTTTATCACAAAAACAATTAGAATGCTTTGTTTGTCGTTTTCTTCTTTATTTTCTAATCAAAACTCAGATGAAAAAGAGTGATCGGTCGTACATATGCTTTATCCTCGGATAACCGAAAGCAAGGTATACACCTTATTCGAAGTCGATTATTTGTCTTCTACATAATAATAATAATATTTAAGTATTTCCTATTATTTTCATAAATAAAAATCGGATTAAAAAGCGATGATCGAGTGCACACCCTTTTATTTCCTTAATAATCGGACTTGTGGTGTACGCCTCGTTTTAGCCGAGCATTCGTCTTCCATATATGAATAAAGATCTTTGAAAATTTTCATAATAAAAATTATATTAAAATGGAATAATTAGGTTCACACCCTTTTTATCCTCGAGTAAACGAACGTGAGGCGTACGCATCATTCTAATTCGAATACGTGTCTTATATTTAAAAACATTTGAACCAATCAAATTTTCTTTTTTTTCCGCCTGTGCACGACTTAGCAATTTCTCAAACAATGTTTATCGCCTAAGCGCAAGTCATTTTTATTTCAAACAACTTTTATCTGCCAAGCGCGAACCTTTTTTAATAAAACAAGTTTTTTGCTACCCAGAACTACGTAGTTCTGAGTTCTTCATCACACTTAGAAATACGTAGGAGCGAGATTCAATGTCTCTTTAAGCACCCTAAAAAATACGTATTTTCCCCTTTATTTCTTCTTTGTAAATATTTCATAATAATTAGGAGAAATAAAAAAATTCAAAGCTAACATTTATATTCGTAAAACTAATTATGCGGTTCTTGTTAGTTACAACGGATGTCACGAGGTGCTAATCTTCCCTACGCATAATCGACTCCAGAACCTGAATTTGGCTGTGATGACCATATTTTTGTGATTTTAGGATTTTATCTATGTTTTCCCTTACAAAATAAAATCAGTGGCGACTTTATTGTCATTCGAGCGTTTATTCACTCTGATATTTTTTGCATCGCGACACCTAGCATGGTCCAGTTTGAGGTATTAGGCAATGAGTTGCGTCCACCCTTGTAAACGACTATCATCTCAATGATATTCCTCTTGATCATTTTTTTGGAAGAGGGATTTGCATGAGATGTTCCACCGGTGATGGCGACAATATACAGGCGTTTGCCCTTGCTAGTTTCTCCCTTTTCAACACTAGGACCAGACATAAGAACCATCGCGGGGGATTTAGTTTTAGAGGATATTTTTCGGTATCGTTTGTTGTCTTTAACGTATTCAGATAGATGTCCTCGGTTGATCAAAGACTCGATTGCGTCCTTGAGTTGAATGCAATCTTCATTGTTATGGCCATGTTCCCTATGAAAATGAAAATACTTTGATATATTTGTCCGGGCAGATTCTCGCACGATGTTATGAGGTCAAATTCCTCCTTTTCTAAATAGGTGTTTGCACATTCTTGGCAGGTCCTCCCCGGAGAAGTGTTTAGGGGAGTGTACCTATTGTATCGGTTGTATGTCTCTTTATCAGTATCTTCTCTTTGCCCGCGGGGACCCTTTATCGATGGGTGTTTGGAACGAATATCAACGGATGAGGCCGAATGATCAAATAAAGTGTTTAATTTCTCCTTCAATGTCATATATGATTGAGCCATGTTTAACATCTCTTGAGTCACCGTCACCTTTTTCTTCCCCAATTTAGGGCTGAAAGGATGATCACGAAGGAGGCCATTCTCGAAGATCCAGCACTGAAGATACTTTTCGGTTCCTTCAACTTCTACTACAACTTGAGTGAATCGATCGATTTAAGATCACAGACTCTCTTTTGTTCCTTGCGTGATGTAGCTGAGGGAGGATATAGTAACTTGTTGTCTTTTT